AAAAAAAAAAAAAAAAACTGAAATGTTTAAAATAGGCTTTAAGTAGGAACACTAAGTAACATTACTTAAGGAATATTAAGTAGGAAATGTTTAAAATAGGTCAGAAAAAAATCATGTATCTTGAAATTTTAAGTGTTCAATTAGACATAAAATACACTTGTTAATTTACAGAAGTATATTCATTAATGCAGCCTATGGCACACATTTGGACAAAATGAGTCCTCTCAGCCGGGCCTCTGGTTGAACTGTGGCTCCTGATCATTTCTCATCCATAAACATAGCTTCTTTTCTATTTATTTTATGTTCCAGACACTTCTCCCATTCCTCCCACAAAGGCCCGTGTGGCCAACAAGGACATTTTCAAGTTTTCATAATAAGTGGTCCCTTGTCCATCTGTCTCCTACCAGTCATTTTAGAGAAACCACATCATTACATGTTAAACACACATTGTTTCCCTGGAAAAAGCTTCACCGTAGATCCTTATTTACCGATTCCTTTATTCAACTAGTACTTGTTGAGTTCCTGTTTTGTGCCATGGTGCTGCATTGAATTCTGGAGTTAGAACAGGGTATTTACCTTACTAAAATTTTATAAATCAGTAGGAACACATACCTGCCAACATGACATAAAAAAAAACATAGTGGATCTAATGGAAACATATGTCCTAGAGCAGCAGGAGTGCAGGGCAGGGAGATCAGATACAGAAGAATGATCCTGGCACTGTATAATTTGATAGTTATTTAAAAACTCTTAAACAGTGTAGTTTGGTGAGGTTATGGAGAAGTCACTGCCACTAGGCTGGGCTCGGGACCCTGTGATGTCAAACTCAGAAGCACTTGAAATGACTCTGACGTGCTATCCCTGAAATTTTGGAAATGTTGGAGCTCGACAGCCTCACAACTGATCCCTCATTCCATGAATTGAAACGTAAGGCTCACGTATTGTGGGTAGTGGTCTTCTGTTCTACAAACCTTATAAATCCCACACAAAGAGAAATTTATAAGCTTTTGGAGAACTGATAAAAGAAAGACCAGAGTTGTCTCTCATGAAAAACAAAAATACTTTCTTTCCTCAACTTTAGGAAAAACATTTTAATCTACAGAAGCATTGAGAGACTAGTATAATGACCAGTAGTATATCCTTTATCTGAATTCACTAAATTGTTTAATTTTAACACATGTATTCTCTCCATACATATGTATAGCATATATGTATATGTATAGCATATATATACTTATGCTGAACCTTATGAAAGTAAGTCAAAGACACTCCATTCCCCCATACTCCAGTGTACCTCTAAGAAGGGCATTTCTCTGCATATCCACCAATACGTTAGAAGGGTCATGCAATAATATGTAATAAGCAATTCATATTCCAGTTTTCCCTAATGCCCCGAAGATGTCTTTTATATGCTGCCCATTCATTTTATGATCCAGGATCCATTGAATGTTTATTCATTGCATTTGGCTGTTCAATTTTTAAATCTAGAATACTCCTTTTAACATACCATTGACTTTTTTGAAGAATCCCAAACAGTTGTCTGGTAGAATGTCCATTATGGTCTAGTGTTCTAATTGTTTCCTCATAGTTCGATTCAGATTAACATTTGTTGGCAATGAAACTCCGTCATTAATGTTGTATACCTGCCCTGACATCACATTCTGAGGTATGTAACGTCAGGTTGTCTCTCTGTTCGTATTATAACGGTTAAGGTGGTCACAGCCAGGCCTCCCCATTATAAGGATAAGTTTTCAAAGAGAACCGTACAGTCCTAGAAATTTCCAGTGGTGGTTTTGCTGCTTTTGTTGGTTTTTGTTTTTACCCTGGAGTCCTTAACCCACTACCAGCTTGCCTTTTCATTTACAAAAGGTTCTGCAATTTTATTTTAACCTAGGGAGGTCATGCGGCTGAGCTATGGAAAAGGTATATTAAACCTGGTATGAGTTTTATCAACCTTTATAAGTTCTTAAAATCCATTATTGTTATGGCATACCTGTCAGCCAACATCTATTTCTCTTTCCTTTTTTTTTTCTCTCTTTCTTCCCCTCCACTTCCTCCTGTTTTTGAGAGGTATGTAGATCTTAGTGAATACCAGTATAACCTGAACTCACACACCACTGAACAGGAAGAAACCAAGACAAGCACTGCCTTCCTATTTCTCATTTGAGTTTGTAAGCTGTTTGCCAAGAGACAAAAAAAAAAAAAAAAAAAAAAAAAATTTTTTTTTTTTTTTACTTTACAAATGCTTTATCATGTTTGCTCTAGGCCTAAAAGGCAGAACCATTCCAGACTTTAGGGAGTTTTCTTTTAGTTTGGTTTAGGATGAGAAGCACTTGTACGTTATCAGCTGGCAAAATGGGGAAAGAAAATGTAACAATCATTTCTGGAAATGTGAGGCTTTGATCTTGGTACCTCTATAAGACACTGACATCTGAAAGAGCAGTTTAAGGTCCCTTTTTCTCCTTAAGAATTGCACTCTGTCCCGATCACATCCAAATTGTACAGATCCTGACGTCCCGTGAAGGGGTATACAAACTGATCCATCTAGCCCTGCAAGTTTGAACTTATTCCACAGCCAGTGCTGTTTTCTGAGTTGAGTGTTAGAGGCCTTGGGTGAATACCCTAATACCCAGGGCTGTAGCTATTAGTCTGAATTTCTCCATCTTTACTTTGGGGCAGTTGAATTCCTGGCCTGAGGGACTCCTTATGGTCTGAAGCACTTGGATAAAACTCAAAACTGAGATGCATTGGCTACATTTTCTCTTGAATTCTTTCTTACTGTAACAAGTAGAGTCCCCAATTAGCCAAAGATCTTAACAAGCAAGATTTGCTCCTGGTTCCAGCTAATGCCTGCAGCCAACTCATTTGGGCCGCTGGAATTGATTCAGTCCAGTGTGCTTGGAAGAACTGTCTAATCCAGGGAGGAATGTATCGATGTCTGGTCCTCCGGCCCTCTTTCCCTTCAAAATGAAGTATTGATTTTCATGCCACTTTAATTTCCCAGTAGGGCAGAAATGGAATGGAAGTAACTGCCAGAACAGGTATGAGTCCAGTGAGGCTTGG